AAGTATTTTGCAGAAACTTATCAGTGGCATGAATCGACAGGTTTCTGTCACTTTCCAACAAATAAACCAAGGCAAATTTGAACATTTGAATAATGACCAGACAAAGTTGTCAAGTATGGAAGGATAAAGGGAAACACTAAAATCGTGATTTTGTACTAACATCTTTAATGTCTTAGTATCATTGCAGAACTTTGCCTTAACATGGGCAGGGATAGAATCAATAAAATATACAGCTGTCGACCACAAGCCATGGCGAAAGGCTATCCACCGAGATGTTGGCCGCGACATAAAAAACGGAGATTCGTAGCAAGTGCTACTAAACGGATACTTTGTCCTGCCTTTTCTAGATAAACAATTTCCCCATAAAATGTACTTGTAATTTTTTAACACCGGGGTGTGGGGGCGATTTCTTGAACTAGTATTAGGCCGTTTATTGAAGAAATTCGAATTTTATAGTTGGTCTTTTTAAACGCTGTGCTACTGATAGTGAATATTTTGTCAAAATAACATTTGTGGGGCCGGAATATGGACAAAAACAAGTGAGAATAAAATGGTCCTTTAATGCATTTTAACCAGTGACACTCACGCTCAGTTTTAAAGCACCTGGAATTCGAACCCGATAATTTTAGTTATTTAGTCGATAGCTCTATCAGTTGAACCACAAAGCAGTTGCCCAGTTAGTGAATGCCCTTCCAACATATATGTATAAGCAATATATCCTCCGTTAGATGGGATGCACCACTTTTAACGATGGTTCAAATGAAGGACTCCATATATGTGGCATTCGCCAAGTGTGAAACTTAAGGATTCTCAATGCTGATCTGGAGAAGAAAGACCTAGTAACGAAAAAATATAATACGCCAATGGAAGATCGAACAGGTGGGCCAGACGGCAGACAACACCAAGCCAACTGCGGCGACTTCCATGCAGCGGTCCATATGAATTTGGATGTTCCCAGGAATTGACCAGACTCGGCGGAAAGTTGAACTTTATTTTCCGATTCACAATTAGGATCGGTTGACAGTCGGCTCTGAGTGCTTGTTTTGCGTGGCTGCAAAGGAATAGTATTTTACTCTTTCTGCATGTCCCTTCTAGAGACGGGAATGTTTATCCAACCGTAAACATGAGCTAGCATATTAATAGCAAGCAATCATTGCCAAAATAGTTTCCAGTTATATCAAAGGGCCGGTTTCTCTTCTCAAGTTATAATTCACTGAAAAAGTATTGTTTTTCGTCCTTTAATGCTTGCGATTAACGCATTCCAGCGTGTTGTAATTACTGTCTGTCTGGAAAATTCTGCGCCACCCACATTGCAAATTATTGTCGCATCTAGCAGGATTGGATTTGACAGAGGAGACTTTGAAAATCCATGATGAGAGCTAGGGCACTGTCGTCAAGTTGGCTTTCACTGTGTTTTATAGGCTTGATCAAACACTGTGAATCAATAATTAATTCTTACTCACTATTGGCTATTGCATTAATGGGAAGCTTAATTTAATTTGAAAAAACATGATGTCTTCGTGTATAAGACAATAAACAACTGAATGCACGCCAATTAATTCGAATAGCACGAAGTCTGCTTAAAAAGTTTTCGTCATTAAACATTCAACAACTTAAAGACTACAATTCCCGTTCTAGAAATTGTACATGGTGCTTTCTGCTTTTTGTGTTCATTAATGCGCTTAACCGACGATAGCCCCTTTGAGTATGTTGGCGGAATTTTGAAACAACTGGCCTCCGACCATCAGCTTCTCTTAGTTTTGACCAACTTATCGAAGTAGACGAATCTTTGTAATGAATATACATTATTATTAACACTCTATGTGTATACAGACCCTCGTTAGAAAATTTTGTGTACAGTTGCGCTTCTAGCATGATGGGACAGACAACGATCGGATTGTGCAGGTTTTTTTATGACTTCGGACTGAGTACTCTTCCGGGAACATGCATAAATAAAGTGTGACATACATTTGCTATGCATTTATAGCATTATATTTTAAGGCCCGGTGCAATTAATTTCATGCCGTATGAAAAGGGGTGTGCAAAGGCTCCATTTTTGCATTCACTCTCTTGGAGAGAGCGTTTTTTAAAGTTGATGAAAACAGTATTTGAGACAGCGAGAAGGAGGGGGAGAGACATATGCTTTATTTTAAGTTTAAGGCGAGATTTGGTTCCCCAGCCTCACCGGGTTGATATCATACGGTTAGCTTACTATGAAAATTTAAGAGGGTTCGAGTGCGCTGGCTTTACAAATATCACGTGTTTACACCTTCTATACCATTATAAGCCAACTGGTAACTGTGCCACGGAGGAGGGGAGTGCTTATATGCCATCCCCGTTTACATCATGTATCAGTTCCCACGCGCTTCCTTGCGCGTTCTTCGAACCCTGCTTGCGCCCTCTTTATTACACTAATCCATTAAGCGGCCAAATAGGCTTGCTACTAGAATTTTTTCGGTAAAATGGAAATCCGTTAATTCTAATTCAGTGGCCATGTACTGCGAATAACCACGCGGTTCCCTCCGTGGCGTTCCAGTTGTGATTGCGTTCACAACATTCTATCAATCCGGCGAGTGGCTGTGTCGCGGAGAGAGCGGTTACACGCCACCTTCACGCGCATCCCTGCCTATGCTTCGAGCTCTGCTTGGCTCTCTTTCCCTTCCTGGTCCAGTGAGTGGATAAGTTAGGTATGTTAACTAACATTGTTTTAGTAAGCTTACCATATGGTTTCAGTCAAGTGCGACTGCAGAACCAAACACCGCCTATTTAAACCCAAATTCCAAGGTTTTTAGCGAAAGCGTCTTTCATCAATCGTGTTTGGAAAACGGATAAATAAATGACTAGAGAGTAAGTGGTATATAAAAGTGTTCACCAACTATAGGGACAGTCCGCACCTCCGCTTTTTAATAAAAACGGAACATTTATTTACCGATGTGTGGCAGTAGACCTGCCGGGAGCCACAGCGTATGGGGCGGGAAGACCATACATCAATTAATTTAAAATAAAAGGGATGGGGAACATTGCCCAGAAATCAAACAGTCGATTACATGACCGATGTGAACTATCCCCGTACAATGATATCAATTGAAAAGACATAAGAAAAATGGGCAGCATAAGAGAACGTTCGGGGGAGGCCTACTAAAATAAACATATACTTTTTATGTAAAGTGGGCAAAAAAACAGGAAAACAATGAAGACTGGGAGGAAGAAGGCACGCATTAATTAGTCGCCAGATTAAAGTTTGGGAAGAGCGAAGTTAGAAGTAAATGCCGTTCCATGTAAGTGAATCTTTGGAAATACAGTAGGTTAGGTAACTCATGAAATTTCAACCGAATTTCCGAAATGCGTTTTCGTTTAGAATAGATTAATTAAGTAGGGTTGTAAAACTAATCATCCTACGACGCAATTCAATAGTACTTCAGTTACCTCACGATGCCGCCTTTCGAACAAGCCCCTTTTTGGCTGCATGCAAAACTACACTCTGCAAAAATGGCTACATAGGTAGCATGAATTTTTCTCATTGATTTTCGATGCCCTTAAAAGTTCAATTATATTTCATGGAAAACATGCATAAAATATGCAGTCTTTTACTCATTCGGTAGAAAACTACGTTCTCTTCCAATTTTATGCTCGAATTGAGGGCATAATTCGGTTATAAAAAAGTTTCTAATGAGATTTTTTTTAATACCGCGAAGGTCCGTTCATAAAACCTCGTGTCTCCACAGTTACTAATTTAGCTTGTAAAGTTTACGATATGACTGAAATCCACTACTAAATCTTATGAACCCCGTATGATCTCCTCTTAATAACGTACAGAAATCTATGGTTTTCCGTACGTGGAAAATACACAGTTTGTAGATTGGAAAGTGAATGCAAGTGTAACGGCAGGTCGGATTCAAAAGTATTTGGAAATTAAAAGGTTTTTGAAAACCGAATTATACCCTTCCTTCGAGTATAAGATTCCAAAAAAACGTAATTTTCTACCGAATGAGCAAAATAAGGAATATTTTTATGCTTGTTTTCCATGAAATATAATTGAATTTTCAGGGGTGTTGAAAATCAAGGAGAAAAATTCATGCTACGTAAGTAGTCGTTTTTTTGCAGTGTGGTTTTTGCAAGCGGCTGGAAAAATATTCATTCGAAAGCTGGCATTTCGGAATAACAGAATTATTGTAGAATTATATTGAAGGATGGTTAATTTTAGAATCCTACTTAAGTAATCTTTTTAAAACGAAAACGCATTTCAGAATTTCGGTCAACATTTCATCAGCTAGCACACCTACTCTCTGTAAGAGATGCCTAGTCCGTGTGTGATGTCGGACGTGTTCATGTGTGGTGCATGTGTTGATGAACAATTGTCTTGTCCTGCGATCTATTCTACGGGGATTTACCCTATATTTTCAAAGAGGCGCATGTAACCGAATAGGCCCACCAGCTGGCTGAATGTCTGTGGCCACTGCGAGCGCTAAAGGTGGTGGCGACGGAGGTATGTTGGTGCTCTAGGCACCGGTTCGCCAATCCCTGTTTGATGAATTCACAGGTGACTGACCAGGTGGATGCGCGGTGTGCATGTGCGATGGTAGTGTCTACAGGATAGGTTGGGAGCCTCTGAGCCGATTTCAGCAGTGATGCCACTGGTGGTGAAAGTGCTGGTGTATGTGATTGGTAGTACTGGGGATAGAGGAGTTGTCAGATGTGCAAGATGCTCTTCGTATGTCGATATTGCGGTGAATTCCGCTGTCGGGGATAAGTATGTGTCCAAATAGACCAATGCGGCGAGTGAATGTGTGTGGACAGTGGAGGCAGATGCGCTGAGTGTATGTCGTAGCTTCTGGCACTGGTTAGCCGGTCACAGTGGGATGGACTCCCAAGTGACCAACCAGGCCGCTGCGTGAGGTCAGTGTTCAATTTTAGTGAGAACAGTTACGGATTGAGTCAAAAACGTTGGTGGCGGGGCGGTGGTTGTTAAGGGTAGTGGTTAACGGGCCTCGTGAATGCTATCACTGGTTGCGGATGCGGGGAGGCGGTGGTGGCTGCAGGGGTGAGGCAGGCGTGGTGCGGGTGACGTTGATCGATGGCGGCGTGGCACGGAGATTCTGAGCATCGGTGGTGAGCTTGAGTGTCGCCGTGGACGCCGTCGGTGATGACGGAGGCGTGTAAGGGGGCTTGAAGATGGGGTCGTCGGGTTGTTGTTGTATTGCGCCTGGAGATGTCCGACAAGGCCGATCAACGTGCGGAATTTTCACTGTCAGCGTGGACATGTTGGAAGGTGTTGAATGCTGGCAAATGGATCGGAGGGGTTTGAGACTTGCGAACTGCTCTCTTGACTTTGACAGCGGTGACCCAATTGGCTTCATTGACTGCTTGTCCGGTCTCAATTGCCTTACTTCAGGTCAGCAATCCTGGGCAAGATCCTTCCCCGTCTCAGGGTTGATTTGCAGGTGGTCGAGAGAGTTCTTCGGAATAGCCTCATAGCGTTTTTTTGTCTTTCTTGTTGGCAAGCACCCGTAGCGATATCTTCATAGAAGAGTCGTTTGGACGATCGCTCGTTGTTCATCCTCACCGTTCCTCCACACTAGCGCTGCTTCACAATGGCGCGTATGCTGCGGATACCGGCATATCCCAAAAGTTTAGCTTTAGGATTCTCTGGAGATAGATGAAATGGAAGGGGTTGAGTTTCCGTGCCTGGTACTTGTAGACTGTTCAGGTCTCCGTTCCGTATAGCAACTCTACCAAGATAACTGCTTTGTACATATTGAGTTTGGTGTTGCAATGAAGACTGTGGCGATCGCACACGGAGTCCAGCAGTCTGGCCGAAGGTTTGACTGGCTTTGGAGATCCAGTGAGCCATTTCGTCGTCGATTCACATGGTGCCTAAGCATGTTCTGCCTAACCAGGCATACACTCTCCACGGCCTTCAGCCGGGTGCTGTTGACAGGGATCCGATGGGGGTTGCAATTAGTATCCCGTGAAGACCGATGTATTATCCTCGTTTTGTCATTTTTGAAAGTCAGTCTGCAGTTGGCACGGCCGGCGGCGAAAAAGTCCAGGATTCGTTGCATATCCGGTTCTGTCGCGGTGTTGAGTTGCAGTCATCCATGAAGAGCAGGACGTGGACGATAGTCGTGTAACTGCGCGTCGGGGTCTGCATGCGCGGGTTATTGAGAAGGTGTCTGTCGGTCCTCTAGGCGACGCAGATGCAAGGGCGCTAATCACAGTAGGTGTCTATCATTCTGGCAGAGAGCACGAGGTTAGGGAGGGCGAGAGCGAGTACGCAAACCTGTTTCTTTCCCCTTGGTCATTGCGAATGCTTCTGAGACGGCACCGGTGTCCATGACGTGCGTCATTATCCCGTCGTGTAGCTGACGCAGCTCCGTGATTTTCCAGAGTCCATGAGGATTCACAGTGTCAAAAGATTTAATCAGGTCCACGAAGGTAGTTCAGAGGTGGATCCGCATCTGCTGGCACCCCTCTTGCAACTACCGATCGATGAATATCATGATGATGATTCCGCGGCGCTGTTGGAAACCAGCCTGGCTTTCCGGGAAAAGTTCATGTTTTGGATGACCGTTTAGACGGTGGAGGATGATGAGAGCCAAGATCTTCTTGCCAACGTTTATCTGTGAAGAGTAGTTACGTCCTTGAAATACTGAGAAGCTTGGCAATGACGTCACAGTTCCTCGAATGCTGTTGTAAGTTTCGACCTTTCAAATTCCTAAGAAGTCAAAAGTCCGCGACTGCAAGTCTGGTGTATTCGCTAGAAATCACACGGGAACTCTTGGGGGGGGGGTTACTGATGACCTTTATCTCTCCCAGCTGTGTCATACAGCGACAGAATACCAACAAAACACTGTATGGATTTTAAGTTAGTGCCAGTATCGTAAAGTATGGTGAATGATGGAACCTGCGCTGTCCGTCGACCAAGTAAACCTCGACCGATTTTATGTGATCACCAAAAAAGTTAACGAAAAAATGAATACCATGATGGCAGCACTTTTTTTCAATTCCACCTTAAGTGGGTGGGTCCGATATATATTCACTTGGAAGTCCGCAAATTGGGCTGTAAGAATTTATTGCGCTCGCGCCTTATGGTGACGGGCTTTGCAACCTCCTTTTAGTTGTTTCTTTCTCTTGAAAGCACAAGACATTATGTCTAAATAATATCCTGCGTCTTTGATCGAAACGTTTTCGTTGCCATCTTCACAAATTTGCCTTCTAGCCACTCTCCGTATTTTGATGTGACGTCACCGACTGTCTAGTTTTTCGCTGATATTCATCCATTGGCCAGTTGTTCTTGCACTTTTCGAATTATTGGTGTGCTTTATCAGCGTAACAGACTTCGTAGTATTAGCAACTTAGAGATTGGAAGATTTACAAGCATGTTCACTTTCTTGCCGCCCGACTTTTCTTAACTTCTGAACTTTTCGCAGACGCATTGCAATACCTAGGTGCTCTACGCTTCCAGTGTTCGTAACCTAACTGACCCCTCTAGAGATTTTTCTGTATATTATCTAAAACTGTCTTACTTCCTGAACCACCGCTGGCGGCGTGCAGCTAGAAAAATTTGAAAGGAGCGGATGTTGATTTTTGAAAAAAAATGCTTTGATTTTTTAGATTTGAAAAATTTGCGACGCATGAATGACAGCCTTCATGGATCAACCTCGTGAAAATCCCTTTATCAGAAGACTTCAAGAGCTTTCGGGGGGAGCACCTATGTAGCCACTCATGTTTCCTTTTTGCGTAATGTACGAACCGCACAGATCCTATATTAGAATGAATTTAAGGTCCCCGGAGTCAAGGCTTGAGGGAGTATATGACTGACCTGTGGAACATCTAGTGCCTTCACCAGTAGTTTTTCTGGAAACTGCCCTTACGCACATCTTCTAAGGATGGGAAATTGGTATTCAACCATTTCCATAGGAAAAAGCGAGCGAGAGGGCAGCCAGGATGATTGTCAACACCTGTGATATTGGAAAAGCGTACACACATCAACGTGGCTTCGGATAAGTTAAGGATAAGTTTAGACGACAAAATAGAGCAGGTGGATGTGTCCGTTTATGAAAACGTCGTCTACTATAGCAAAAAGTATCGAAGTCTGTTTTCGGCTTTAAGAGGTACACAAGTAGAATACAACGATAGTCCCAGTAAGTGGGAAACCACGAAACAGCGTTTGCGAAATCAGTCAAACCCAAGGGGACTTTCCTGTAGGGAGACGGTGTGGCCTCAAAGCCTCTTTTCATCTTAGTACGTCATTGAAAAAGCGATTGGCCGAAAGCGTCTGATGTGCCATGACTCACCAAACCATGGCCTGGTGAGCGCTAGCAGTTCCCTGACACCTGATTCCCTGCCTGTAGATGAGCTGGCGCTCCCACTGCGTTACATAGTTCATGAACATGGCTGCCCAGTGACCCCTCCTTCTGACCTGTTGTGGCGCTGTTATTGGCAGACATCCCGGTCATATGTTTGTTGTGAACCGGGGCATGTGGTGGTGCGCCTAGGTGCGGGTCCGGCCGTGCCGGCCACCTGCACCTTTTTCCAACTCCGGTCTTCATGACTCTATCTTGATACCGGGTCCAAGTGGGGGAGGAGAAGAGTGCGTTAGGCGCTGCGCAAGTCTACTAGCATTATAAACCAGCTCGCACACAGGTCGCCGTGCCTGCTCCACCCTGGCGTGAAGCAAACGGGGGACCTCGTCGGGCACGACGGTCAAAGTGGTGGCTGGAACTACGTTGACAACAGCCAAACATGACAGAGGACGTACACTGTTGTCAGCGCTATTAAGTGCGTCTAATTAAGATACTGCAGCTCAAATGAGGGAATGACAACTGGGTCAAAAATATTTTCTCCCCAATTTCCCTGTCTAGTTTTCATTTCTAATTCTATTTAATGGGAGCTCTCAGGATGTTTTTTTGCTTAAAATGCTTATCGCTCCCCGCCTGCTGTGCAACGCCTGCAAAATGCCACTGTTAACCGAAAAAATAGTCGCTGTTTGAGGCACATCGGATTTCGTTCGGGAACTCTTCTGTCTACTATCCCACCTTGTTAATGTGTTTTCTCCTGGCCAGGTGCACGTCAATCACATTTACTTTGGATATAATGTTCAATTTACATAAACAATTTTTTGCATAATGGCAGTGGAGACGTCAGTTAACACGAAAAGTTGTGTCTCACTTTCAACCGCTGTCTGCAGCACAATAACGGTTGAAGATAACTAGCGGATGATCACAGAACCTCACGCTACGAGAGTAACCGATCCCAGGAAATATCAGTCGAAATTGTGAAACGAATTTTGATTAGGAAGGAATACATAAGTGGGGTTATAATCTTGGTTTTCTTGTGGCAAAATAGCGTAATATTTCAGACACGCTAGGAAGTTGCCTTTAAATGCATTTCTTTTCGACCGCCTGCAAAGACCGAACCCGGCTAAAACGGCCACTTAGTTAGTACGAATTCGCTCTATTTCTTTTCAGTGTCCATATGCATTTAAAACATTTTAGCGAAGAGAAGCATAAAGGTTTTTACTTGTAGTATGTTATTATCGATAAAGACAAGGGAGATTGAAATGGCCATTTCTGGCTTATTAGCCGTCGTCAGCCAGCCATACCCAAGCCCGAAGTGTGGAACACCCGAGCCTCAAACTCGCGACCTGTTGGTTTAGAAGTCCACGCCTCTACCCACCGGGCCACGAGCCCATTGCCCTGTCGGTTTTCGATCGGGAATATACAATGGTAGGGGGCGCTCACCGATCGTTCTTACGGAATTCACTCGTTCCGTTGTGCATTACGAGCTCTCTCTCAAGCCCATAAGGCACAACGGAACGAGTGAGTTCCGTAAGAACAATCGGTGAGCGCTCCCACCCATTGTTTTTTTGTACTAATTTGTTAGGAGACATCATCTCCAAATTTTGTACCCAAATGAAGGGTATCATTCAGTTTTAGAAAGCTTCTAACCATTAAATTTTCAAGGCTTTGTGGTATCCATTGGGATAGCGTCGTATCAGTCTGTTTAATAATGCCCATCACTAAGCATACAACGCAGTCCACATGCGTTGCAGCATGTTGTGGGTCTTGTATGATATTTTGTAAATGGCATTAAGTGACGTGTGTTTTCTCTTGCACGAAAATTCACAGCCTGTAGGCTGAAAATCATAAACAAGAGGGCGATGGCAGATCGAGTTTAAAATTACTCTGAGGAGGAAAAACGTTTTTATAACCAAAAGACACCCCGTTTTGAGTTTAGCTTAAAAGAGTCATGATTTGTT